CGGGGCTGGCTACAGGCATGTAGCAAAGTATGTGGAAGAGCCCATAATATGCCTGAAATGCTGCAGATGGGGGCATAAATCCTGGAGATGTCAAAATGATCCACGATGTCGTTTCTGCGGAAAGTCTCACCTCTCTACTGTGTGTAGAAACAGACTGAATCTGGGTGAGAAAATAGTTCCCAGATGCTGCAACTGTGGAGGTGTTCACAATGCGAGCTCGGCTGTGTGTAGCAAGAGGCCGAGTATGGCTGTTCTCCGGCCGGTGAATGTTACAGAGCAAGCAAGAGCTCTTACCCAGACACCGGGAGCACAGCAAAACAGTCTGCCCCAAACAGTGCCAGTGAACCGGACGAATGCGTGGGTAAAGGAGTCACCTTTACTTAGGCAGGCTCCAGCAACAAGCAGCCACGCCACCACTCAGGACTCCGGCAGTGACAGTGTAACGGTGAGTGAAGTGGCTACTGTGGCTCAGAGAGAGGGTCATAATAATATGGTCAAGGAAGTGTGGGCTGAACTTAAAAAAGTTGGTGAGTTCCTCCAAAATCTGGGGCAGAGAATCGAGTCCATCGAGGCTAAATTAAACGTTCAGGAGGTCAAGGAAAATCACAAAACGGTGAAGGATAGTCAGGATATAGTGGTTGAGGACAAAAATGAAATATTGAGTGATGAAATGAAGGAAAGTGAAGTGTGTGTGAATGATGGTAGTCGTAGTGAAAGGAAGAACCCTATAATTACACATAAAATGAAGGAATCATTTGGGCCAATAATGGAAATCTCAGGGCTGAAAAAATCTCTTGAGAATCGCAATGTCGCTTTTACTGGTGAACTTGGGAGGAGGTGGGAGATGTTATACAAGGTATGGCTATCATTTAGTGAACTTATTGGGGATGACTTAGGCAATGAATTGATTAATAATGGATCACCCTAGACTGAAAGTGTTGTCATGGAATGTTAATGGTTTGAGAAACAGGGTTACAGATGTTCATTGTTATGTGATGGGAAATGATATTGATGTTGTAGCTCTCCAAGAGACAGGGGATAGGAATGAAGGATTATTGAAATTAAATGGCTATAAAGGGTTTCACCTCTTCGCTGCAAATAACATCAGAGGCACGTCAATTTATGTTAAGAACTCCATACCAGCAGAGTTAGTAGAACCGCCATCAAAAACGCAAGGTATAGAGAGTGTTTGTGTTAAATTATCATTAAGGGAAGGGGAATTTATTGTAGTTAATTTGTATGTATCCAGGAACTGCTTCGACGCTAACTATTTACCTGACTGCATTTATACTAATCCTTCACTGGTCATTGGGGACCTTAATGCTCGGCACACAAGCCTTGGGACAGTGGGTAGTATTAATACTAATGGGGTCAAGTGGTTACAGTTTCTACAAGATCATCCAGATACCTGTCTATTGGGAAACAATGAACCAACTCACATCAGGGGAGGACGGCTTGACTATGCCTGCGTTTTAAACTCTCAGGGGATTATGGGGGAGGCTCGGGTTGTTCGGGAACTACTTAGTGACCACTTTGCCTTGAACGTTGAATTACCACTGGGGAAAAAACAAGTCCACTTTCAAAGGAAAAGGCTAAATATTAAGAAAGATATGAAAAATTATTTTATTCAAAATATGGGAGATTGGTATCAACATTACACGCCGCTCTGCGTTGATAGTTTTTACGAGGACATGGTCGAGAACATAGAGAAATTAGTACAGAGGGAAAATAACGGGGGCAGGGGAAGCAAGACGCACGGACCTAAGAAATTTAAATATTCCAATGATCAGCAAGTCAAGGGATGGGAGAGAATGCTACGGGGTGCGCATAAAGCATGGTTAAAAAATGGAATGAGGGATGAAGAGAAAAATACAATGTTGGAAGTGGCTAGGGAATGCAGTCAGGTGAGGAAGGAGGCGCGGGACAGATACTGGCAAGACTTTGCTCAGGCCATTGGTAATACTAAGAACCTTAAAGACATATGGAGAGCAGTAAATAAAGTCAGGGGTTGTAAGACTAAATTCATTGCTCACTCAGATCCAGGGAAAGTTGCTAATGAGTTAGTAGATAAATGGGCAAGTGCTGCTGGTATGGAGTCCTTACCTGCAGACACGAGAGTCACCATTGAGTCATGGGAAAATATTAGAAATGGAGTAACTTTATGTGCCTTAAATACAAGATCTATAGCATGCACTGAGATAACCCACGATGAGCTACTGGATGCTATAAAAAGTGGCAGCTCCACTGCTCCGGGAAAAGATGGAGTAACGTATGACATACTTAATTATTTAGCCGGTATGAAACCTAATCCCTTACTTGATTTGTTTAATATGAGTTATAGAGAGGGAAAGTTACCAAGAAAATGGAAAGAGGCTGTCATCATTCCTATCCCTAAGTCAAACGGAGGCTACAGACCTGTCTCCTTAATATCCTGCTTTTGTAAAATGATGGAAAGGATTTTGTTAAATAGGCTACTCTACCTTGTAGGTGATAACATGTCCAATAATCTCTTTGGTTTTATCAAAGGCAAAAGTACTGCGGATTGTCTCTTAAAGTGTTTGTCTAATGTGGATGACAATTGTAGAGTTTTTGTTGATCTACAAGGAGCGTTTGATAAAGCCAATGGGGAAGTAATCTTATACGAATTAGCCAATCTGGGAATAACAGGGAGATTGCTACACTGGATAAGGGATTACCTGCAAGGCAGAAAAGGTCAGGTGTATTACCAGGGATACATGTCTGAGGAACGGAGGTTTCAGTTAGGTACCCCACAAGGGGGAGTATTAAGTCCCACCTTATTCAATGTATTAATGAACAGATTAGCATCAGAGATGTATTCTCCAGGGGTCACGACGATCATATATGCTGATGACATTCTTATACAAGGCACTTCTGGGAACAAAATTCAAGATGCTCTTAACATACTTGGTACAACCTGTCACAAGTTAGGCTTAGTTATAAATGCAGATAAAACCAAATACGAGTATAGGAAACGAAGAAATATAACACTTACTCTAAATGGTGTGGAACTGAGCCGTGTACAGAAGTACAAGTATCTGGGCATGTATGTTGGATACACATGTGAGAGTAAAAATGCTGAAATAAATCATATCAGCACCTTATGTAAAGCCCGTCTGCATCCTCTAAAAGCACTGGCTTTTTCTGGTAAAGGTGTTGGGGTACCTATCTTGCGGATGTTATACATAAGCACTGTTCGATCCCTGATAGACTACGCAGCACCCGTATTGTCTTACACAGGCCAAGGCAGAATTCAAAAAATAGAGCTGATACAGAACGAGGCTATGAGGATTATTCTTGGATGTCAAAGAAATGCAATGATTGAAATAATGAGAATGGAATTAAATTTACAGAGTGTGTGTGATAGAGTCCGTGACATTAACACTAGAGTATCTATTCGTTTCATGCGGAGAAAAGGAGGGGATAAGCTGTTTGAGAGCGTTCAGACCTGCTTGAGTGACGTACACACTTCCAGGAAACTGAGGGAGACTCGCTATACGAGAGGATTAGCTCATGACCTCAGGGAATACGACGTACTTGACTGCTGTAAACCCTCTCGAAAGTGTAATATGTCTGCTCCCTGGAAAGTACAGAAAATAGACGTCGAAATTGTACCCCTCAAGGTGAAAAAGATTCATCATGAACCGGGACAATTACGGTGTTTGTATGGAAGCATGATATCTCGGTTACCAAGAGGCAACAGTTTACATGTATATTGCGACGGGTCGGTGGCGGAGGATGGCAGGGCAGGGTGTGGTGTCCTAATAAGGGATTATACGGAGTTTGGGACTGTGGACAGGATAATTGAACTCCGGCTTAGTAATTATATATCATCCACACAAGCTGAACTGCAGGCCATTCTGGCGTGTTTGGAGGAAGTACGTCATGACGACAAAAATGTTTTTGTATTTGTCGATAGCCGAGGAGCACTGGAGTCCTTAAACAGTAGAAACCCAGTCTTCATGTCTATAGTGGAGGACTGTAAGAGAAGAATAACTGAGATACAGCTGAAAGGTTATAGTGTGAAATTCATGTGGATTCCATCTCATGTTGGAATAGTGCTCAACGAGGTGGCGGATGACTTGGCCAAACGAGCCACATCAAAACCACAAGTTGACATTGAATGTGAATTCACAATGAGACAAATAAGAAGCAAAATCAGAAATATTCAGGCACAGGCGGGAGTGGAGAGGAGAGAGATAATGTATGAGAGTAGTCAAACCATGCAACACTACATGTATGTGAGTCAAAACACCCATTTCACTTATGGTAAAAGGAGAAATGCTTGGAGTGACTCTGTGTACATGCGGCTCAGGCTTGGGTACAAATATTACTGGGAATATGGGATAGATGTTCATGGTAATGACACGAAGTGTAAACTATGTGGCATGTTAAGGTCTCACACCCTTGCCCATTATATTCTTGATTGTCCGTTGATTAGTGTATATAGAAACACTGAGATAAGGACTGTTCCTGAACAAATAGCCTGGATGTGTCACAACGGAAAGGTTGATGATATTCTTGAGAGATATAAGAATTTTGCACCAAGATTGTAATATTTTGTTGAATTATCTGCAGGTGTCTTGCAAATTGTCTATACAGTATACCTAGGTCATAAAAGTATTTGTGTGTACGTCTGATACCATACTCCTTGTGAGGGAGGAAATGTATATTTTTACCTCTCAGAATGTTTGGTAATATGTTTATTTGTGATGTGTGTATATGTATATATTAACACGTTGTACTGAACTGCCACAGGGTGAGAATAGCTTGAGCTACCTCATCCCTTTGTGTGTATTTTACCTCAATAAACTTATTTCAATTTCAATTTCAATGATATGGCACGCAGGGGAACAGGGGAACATTAGCGCTTCTGGTGGGCAGAAGCTTAACTATTATAGGTAGACAGTTTTGACATCATAGTCAACCGAGGGCGAGTCGAGGGTCCGGTCTCTCATTTTTTAAAATAAACAAAGCTTTCAAAGGGGTCATTTGAAGACGGTATTCCTGGTTCAACCTTTGACGCTGTGTGGACTCCCGACTTCTGCTCCGCATAAGGGGTCTAAGGTCAACTTTTTGCTTTTCCTGCATGCTGGCGAGGTGGGTGCCATGCATAGATCGGTACACCAAGGAATCACATTAACGTGATGTATCGATGAGAAAATTAGTAGGAATTATAAGGAGGATTGGAACCTTAGTCAGTACAATAAATTCTCAGTAAAATTAGATTGGCTTCAGGTATTTTTACATATTAAAGATTTGTACGTACCTAGTTGTGCTTGCCGAGGTTGATCTCTGGGTCTGGTCCCGCCTCTCAACTGTCAGTCAACTGGTGTACAGGTTCCTGAGCCTACTGGGCTCTATCATATCTACACTTGAAACTGTGTATGGAGTCAGCCTCCACCATATCTCTTCCTAATGCATTCCATTTGTTCATTACACTGACACTGAAAAAATTCTTTATAATGTCTCTATGGCTTATTTGGGCACTCAATTTCCACCTGTACTCGCCTAGTTGTGCTTGCGGGGGTTGAGCTCTGGCTCTTTGATCCCTCCTCTCAACGTCAATCAACAGGTGTACAGGTTCCTGAGCCTATTGGGCTCTATCATATCTACACTTGAAACTGTGTATGGAGTCAGCCTCCACCACATCACTTCTTAAAGCATTCCATTTGTCAACCACTCTGACACTAAAAAAGTTCTTTCTAATATCTCTGTGGCTCATTTGGGCACTCAGTTTCCACCTGTGTCCCCTAGTGCGTGTGCCCATTGTGTTAAATAGCCTGTCTTTATCAACCCTGTCGATTCCCTTGAGAATCTTGAATGTGGTGATCATGTCCCCCCTAACTCTTCTGTCTTCCAACGAAGTGAGGTTTAATTCCCGTAGTCTCTCCTCTCAGCTCGGGTACTAGTCTGGTGGCAAACCTTTGAACCTTTTCCAGTTTAGTCTTATGCTTGACTAGATATGGACTCCATGCTGGAGCCGCATACTCCAGGATTGGTCTGACATATGTGGTATATACTGTTCTGAAAGATTCCTTACACAAGTTTCTAAAGGCCGTTCTTATGTTAGCCAACCTGGCATATGCTGCTGATGTTATCCTCTTGATATGGGCTTCAGGACAGGCCTGGCGTGATATCAACCCCCAGGTCTTTCTCTCTCTGACTCTTGAAGTATTTCATCTCCCAAATGATACCTTGTATCTGGTCTCCTGCTTCCTACCCCTATCTTCATTACATTACATTTGCTTGGGTTAAACTCTAACAACCATTTGTTCGACCATTCCTTCAGCTTGTCCAGGTCTTCTTGAAGCCTCAAGCTGTCCTCCTCTGTCTTTATCATTCTCATAATTTTGGCGTCATCAGCAAACATTGAGAGGAATGAGTCTATACCCTCTGGAAGATCATTTACGTATATCAGAAACAGGATAGGTCCGAGTACAGAGCCCTGTGGGACTCCACTGGTGATTTCACGCCATTCTGAGGTCTCATCCCTCACTGTAACTCTCTGCTTCCTATTGCTTAGGTACTCCCTTATCCACTGAGCGCCCTATCAGTTACTCCTGCCTGTTTCTCCAGCTTATGCATCAACCTTTTATGGGGTACTGTGTCAAAGGCTTTCCGACAGTCCAAAAAAATGCAGTCCGCCCATCCTTCTCTTTTTTGCTTAATCTTTGTCACCTGATCGTAGAATTCTGTCAAGCCTGTAAGGCAAGATTTACCCTCCCTGAACCCATGTTGATGGGTTGTCACGAAGTCTCTTCTCCCCAGATGTGTTTTTTCTCACCTGTGTCCCCTAGTGCGTGTTCCCCTTGGGTTAAATAGTATCTTTATCTACCCTATCAATTCCTCAGAGAATCTTGTATGTGGTAATCATGTCCCCACTAACTTATTTATTTATTTATTTATGCATATACAAGAATGTACATAAGGAATGTGAGGATACAAATATGGTAATTACAGTCTTGTAAAGCCACTAGCACGCGCAGCATTTCGGGCAGGTCCTTAATCTAAGAAAATTTTAAGGAGGTAAATACATGCAAAATTTATAGACAAAAAAATGATAACAGATTACATGAAATGAAAAAAAAAAAAAAAAAGATGAGAGAAAATTGTAGGTACAGTATATTAAAGCACATAGGTAGCTAAGATTGATTGCAATGACAGCTTAAAATGGTAGTTGACAACAAATTGGTAGGCACAATACAGCAGAAACAATATAAGATTGATTGCAATGACAGCTTGAATGGTAGTTGACAAAAATTGGTAGTCACAATACAGCATATGGCTAGCACATAAAAGAAGACAGCAATGAACACAATGATAAGGTTGTTTGATATTACATAAAAATTAGGAGATTGGGTAACACTAGGTACAGAGCAAATTTAAAGCTCAGTGTAGGAAACTAAGAAGATGAAGTTAGGTACTTTTTGGTTTTGCTTTTAAATAAGGCAAAAGTTTTACAGTTTTTCAATTCACTAGGGAGTGAGTTCCATAGACTAGGTCCCTTAATTTGCATAGAGTGCTTACACAGATTAAGTTTGACCCTGGGGATATCAAAGAGATTTATTTCTGGTGTGGTGATAATGGGTCCTATTACATCTGTCCAGGGAGAGTTTCAGAGCATGGTTTGCATTTAAGAACAGGGTTTTGTAAATGTAGTTGACACAAGAGAATGTGTGGAGGGAGTTAATATTTAGCAAGTTTAGGGATTTAAACAAGGGAGCTGAGTGTTGTCTGAAAGCAGAGTTAGTTATAATTCTGATAGCAGATTTTTGCTGTGTGATGATGGGCTTAAGGTGGTTTGCAGTGGTAGACCCCCATGCACAGATACCATAATTAAGATAGGGGTAGATTAGTGCATAATATAGTGAGAGGAGAGCAGAGTTAGGAACATAATATCTGATTTTGGAGAGTATAACAACTGTCTTAGAGACTTTCTTAGTTATGTGTTGAATGTGGGTGCTGAAGTTGAGTCTCTTGTCTAGGAATAGGCCAAGAAACTTGCCATCATTTTTATTACTGATGTTAATGTTGTCTATCTGTAGCTGAATTGCATTTGATGATTTGCTTCCAAATAAGATGTAGTAAGTCTTTTCGATGTTTAATGTTAGTTTGTTCGTTGACATCCATAAGTGGACTTTTTTTAATTCATTATTCACAACATTATTTAGTGTATGTGGGTTGAGGTTTGAGTAGATAAGGGTAGTATCGTCAGCAAACAATATAGGTTTGAGAATATTAGAGACATTAGGCAGATCGTTTATATATATAAGAAATAGAAGAGGTCTTAAGATGCTGCCCTGTGGCACTCCAACGGTAATTGGTAGAGTGGAAGAAGTTGTATCATTGATGGTTACATATTGGTGTCTGTCACTAAGATAGGATCGGATGTAGTCAAGGGCAAGGCCTCGGATTCCTTCTGTCTCCCAGTGACGTGAGGTTTAATTCCCATAGTCTCTCCTCGTAGCTCATGCCCCTCAGTTCGGGTACTAGTCTGGTGGCAAACCTTTGAACCTTTTCCAGTTTAGTCTTATGCTTGACTTGATATGGACTCCATGCTGGAGCAGCCGCATACTCTAAGATTGGTCTGACATATGTGGTATACAAAGTTCTGAATGATTCCTTACACGAGTTTCTAAAGGCCGTTCTTATGTTAGCCAACCTGGCATATACCACTGGTGTTATCCTCTTGATATGGTCTTCAAGGGACAGTCTAGTGTGATATCAACCCCCAGGTCTTTCCCTCTCTCTCTCCCCCTCTGACTCTTGAAGTATTTCATCTCCCAAATGATACCTTGTATCTGGTTTGTTCCCTACACCTATCTTCATTATATTACATTTGCTCGAGTTAAACACTAACAACCATTTGTTCAACCATTCCTGCAGCTTGTCCTGGTCTTCTTGAAGCCTCAAGCTGTCCTCCTCTGTCTTAATCCTTCTCATAATTGTGGCATCATCAGCAAACATGGAGAGGAATGAGTCTATACCCTCTGGGAGATCATTTATGTATATCAGAAACAGGATAGGTCCGAGTACAGAACCTTGTGGGACTCCACTGGTGACTTTATGCCAATCTGAGGTCTCACACCTCACTGTAACTCTCTGCTTCCTATTGCTTAGGTACTCCCTTATCCACTGGAGTACCTTACCAGTTACTCCTGCCTGTTTCTCCACCTTATGCTGGGCCTCTTATGGGGTCTTATGTCAACTTGTTACTCTGACGACGGTAAGATTATCCGTGCTTGAGAATATCCAGTGAACAGGTTCGAATTCTCCTGGTTCTTACTGATTATCACAATAAAACGGAGTTACAACCATAATTGTTCAGTCAAAATATTATGTTATTTGACAGGAAGCCAGTATATATATTCATGCTTGGCTTATATCGAGATCCCCAAAGGTCAAATTACTGACCCCGCCCAGGATCCTACCCCACAAGAAGCTTACTAACTCTTGGGTACCTATTTACTGTTAGGTGAATGGAAGCATTAGGTGATAGGAAATGCACCCAACCATTTCAGTCTGCCTGTGATTCAAACCCGGACCGAGTCAAAAACGAACCGAGATTGAACAACTGGGCAAGCACAACACAGACTATTGGGTATTTATCTAGCCACTGAATACCTTAAGGTCATTGGTGGTGGAGTTATTTTCTGTGACTCTAAAATGGCTCTACAGTCCTTGAATAACCCATCACAATGTATGTCGGAAGTAGCTTGTAATATTAAATGGAATGTAATTTTTGCCAATGATAATAACAATGCCAATGGTGGGAGTCGGTTAGCCGAGCGGACAACACGCTGGACTTGTGATCGTGTGGTCCTGGGTTCGATCCCAGGCGCCGGTGAGAAACAATGGGCAGAGTTTCTTTCACCCTATGCCCCTGTTACCTAGCAGTAAAATTGGTACCTGGGTGTTAGTCAGCTGTCATGGGCTGCTTCCTAGGGGTGGAGGCCTGGTCGAGGACCGGGCCGCGGGGACACTAAAAAAGCCCCGAAATCATCTCAAGATAACCTCAAGATATAGGAGTCTTGATCCTCAGTTAAGTCAGTTAAGTCAGTTAATAACTCCTGTATAAAATTTGTGTGGATCCCATCCCATGTTGGAGTTGGAAAACATGACTGTGTAGATCAATTGGCCAATGAGGCTGCAGGAAAGAAAACATTGATTATGACTTTGGACTATCTAATGCAGTTATTAGAAACATACAAATTAAAGAAATTAATTCAGATTTAGAAGAACTAAGAAATGCTCAGAGACCTGAAAGCTGCAGTATTAAAAGTTATTACAAGTTTTGTAATAATAGGTATTTGTATGGTCAGCACAGTAACCGAACCAGGCAATGTGATGTAGTCATTGCACGAATTCGCCTTGGCTATAGACACATCTGGCAGGTTAGTGAGGCTGAGCCACTACCAGAATACTCAGATTGTAAATTCTGTGATAAACCTTTAATGCATTCACTAGAACACTATATTGATGAATGTGAAACCGTAAAGGACTTTAGACCTCCTGGCCTCTTGTACCACCAACTGTGTAACTATTTTATTGACTCAGGTGTTCTGGATGACATCCTAACAATTTATCCCAAATTTGCTTGTCCATTTTAAAGAATGAAGAACAATTTTTATTTATATTACTTCTAAGCTGCATCACTTATGAACCCATCCCTGCCCTTGTGTGACAGTGCACAATAGAAAGTTGTTTTCACATCTCCATACATTAAAACATTGATTGTAATCATGATACTGTATATATGTACTTCAGCCTACAGTTTAGACCTATTGTCTTATGTATGACCCTCTGTCCTGCATGACAGTGAATACTAGCATTATCCTCACTTTAATAAGACTATCAAAATCCTCAGATTAGGCAAAATTGTAATTAATTTTGTCAATAAAGATGTTAATAATAAAATAATGACTACTACAGGGACCCTATTTTATGTATTTTGGCAAAAATGGTTGTGAATGTGTTTACTTGAATTTACTCGAGGGTCTCCATATCTCTATAATGGCCTCTATGGGAACAGGAAGATGGTGGCTTGTCAAAGGTACCTCCCCCCCCCCATGGCTCTTGAGGATTTTTCTAACTTTATTTTGAGCACAAACCTACTGCATTATAGCATTAAAGGTAGTGTGATATATGCAACATGCATCTTATAACTAAGCCAGGTGTGGGATGTAATGTTTATCAATAAACAAACGCTTTGCGAACCCTACCCGAAACACTTTGCGTAATAATGGCTTTAGGCATTGTATGTACTAGCTCTATCTATAAATCCATCAACTTTTGTATTTCATCTTGTATGTATGTACTTTACCTGAATAAATATTTGTATTTGTATTTATTTGTTATAAGTCACATCAGGTTGTTTTAGTGTGTTAACAGATAGGGCAATGGAGTGGTCATATTACCAAGGTTGGATAAGGGCAAATGGGAGAACCCCTTGACAAGCCGCCGGCTTCCTGTCCTCGTCGAGGCCTCTAGTGTTAGTGGCCCTCAGGTAAAAAAAAAGAAAAAACAGGATGGTAGTTGTGCAGATAAATGTGGGAGATGTTAATTGCTTCCATCTTGCTTAATCTCTGATATAATTAATGTGATTAATTAATCTGTGAATTATAAAATGGATTTATTTGTAAAATCTATTTCTTGACATTGTAACCATTAGGCTTCTGCCATTGGTTTAGGGCTTATAGATCATACAATGTAATAAAGTTGTTCTAAGCATGTTGTTTTAGGTGATTCAGATTAATAGACAATTTTATAACCCACAGGGGCTTTAAACCCATGGAACTGCGTATCTGCTGAAGCCATAAATAATTATACCAAATATGCCAAAACTCTGCCTAACTTGAAAAAATCATCAGGACAAGTAGGGGGACCTTTGACACTGCTACCTTCCTCTCTTCAACGAGGCCACTAGTGTGTTAGTGGTCCGCATGTAAATTCGGGTAAATGGATCAATAATACACAGTACTACAGCACTTCTAATGACGGTTAGTAAAAGATTTTGTATTTTGTTAGCTAATAAGTTAATTTTTTTCTGTGTAATATTAAGAGACCATTTATGCTTAGCCATGGTTTCATGAGTCCAAGACCGGGACTTTCATTAAGCTATTGCACTCTTATTGGTAATGTATTTTTCCATTTGAGAACAAATTTTGTAAGTCAAATTGTTTTGAATAATGTTGTGACACAAAAGATGTTTAAACTTAAGTGTGGAAATTTATTTATTTATTTTTATTTATGTATATATACAAGAAGGTACATTGGGTTTGTGAGGGTACATAGCATGGTGTTTACATTCTTGTAAAGCCACTAGTACGCGCAGCATTTCGGGTAGGTCCTTAATCTAACAGATAATTTTAAGTAGGTAAATTCTAGCAAAATTTATGAAATGTTAACAGGTACATTGTAAGAAAAAAAAAAAAAGAGAGATTAGTAGGTATATTAAACCACATCGATAGCTCCGATTGATAGCATTGACAGCTTGATTGATAATTTAACAAAGATTAATAGGCACAATACAGTATATTGACAGCACATATAATAAGACGACAGCAATGATCACAATGGTAAAGTTGTTTGGCTTGGGTACATAAATATTGGGGGATTGGTTAGCACTAGATACAGTGCAAGTTTAAAGCACAAGGTAGGAAACTGTGAAGATGAAATTAGGTCCTTTTTCGTTTTATTTTTGAATGAGGCAAAAGTTGGACAGCTTTTCTATTCATTAGGGAGTGAGTTCCAGAGACTAGGTCCCTTTATTTGCATAGTGTTTACACAGATTAAGTTTGACTTTGGGGATATCAGAGATATTTATTTCTGGTGTGGTGATAATGGGTCCTATTGCATCTGTCCAGGGAGAGTTTCAGAGCAGGGTTTGCATTTAAGAACAGGGTTTTGTAAATGTAATTGACACAAGAGAATGTGTGGATTGAGTTTGTTTAGCATGTTTAGGGATTTAAACAAGAGTGTTGTCTTGGATTTTCAGAGTGTTGTCTGAAAGCAGAGTTTGTTATTATTCTGATAGCAGATTTTTGCTAGGTGGTGATGGACTTGAGATGGTTTACAGTGGTTGAACACCATGCACTGATACTATAATTAAGATAGGGATAGATTAGTGCATAATATATTGAGAGGAGACCAGAGTTAGGTACATAATATCTGATTTTGGGGAGTATACCAACTTTTTTAGACTTTCTTATACTCGCCTAATTGTACTCACTTAATTGTGCTTGTGAGGGTTGAACTCTGGCTCTTTGGTCCCGCCTCTCAACTGTCAATCAACTGATGTTGATTGTTATGTTATTGTCTTAGTTATGTGTTGTATATGGGTGCTGAAGTTGAGTCTCTTGTCTAGGAATAGGCCAAGAAACTTTCCATCATTTTTATTACTGATGATAACATTGTCTATCTGAAGCTGAATTGCATTTGTTGATTTGCTTCCAAATAAGATGTAGTAAGTCTTTTTTATGTTTAGTGTGAGTTTGTTGGTTGACATCCATAAGTGGACTTTTTTTTTAATTCATTATTCACAACATTATTTAATGTGTATGGATTGGAGTCTGAGTAGATAAGGGTAGCATCATCAGCAAACAATATAGGTTTAAGAATGTGATATGTGATATGTGATGTGATAGGAATGTGTTATGAAATGTGAAGAGCACTTTGATTCATGTTAGAATTAGCTGGCACTTTGATTCATGTTAGAATTAGCTGGGATGTTTCTTGCATATATTAGTATTGTCAAATTGAATACTAAAGAGGAAAAACAAGTAAACAATATACTGTATGGATTGAAGTTAGTCTCTATTGAGAAATGAGTTGCCAGTGCCAAGAAAAAATAAGGCAGAAATAGATATATAAACAAATCCACAAGGGCCGTGACGAGGATTCGAACCTGCGTCCAAGAGCATCCCAGATGCTGCCTTAATTGACTGAGCTATGACATGGTAAAAAGTATTGCAACCAGAAATTCAACTGAATTTACTTGGATCCTGCAGCCTCTCCGAGACCCAAACCAGGATTTTACACAATTCCCCCATGCACTCGAGCTATGTCAATAGGCTGTTCTACCTCTTCGCCCTTACTTCATTACAGATATATAGTTTAAGGAAGAGTTGGAATATATGGGTACCTACTGGAAGAGTCAATTGGCAGAGGTAACCGAGAGATGTGAGAAAAATTTAAGCTGGGAAATGTATGGAAAACATTACTAAAGTTTAAGCTCATAAAGACATTGTCAGAGCTTAAAACCATAAATGACTAACTAACTAGAGGGATTGAACTCTAAAACTGGAACACATGGGCCTTAAGTGTCTCACATATTCACAAAACAAGGGTTAAGCAAATGCAAGTCACTGCTTATAATACATGAATTGAATATCTGTATAAACCCAAGGAGGGAGCGAGAGAATGCAAGACCTACATACTCATAATGTACGGACTGGTTGGTTGCCACCTCCTCCGCCACCCAGCTCCTCTGCCATTTTGTCCGATTTCTACTGTGTTGTTGGTGGGACCGAAGTCACTACAGTATCCCCCCTCTTGCCCTTTCCAGAGGACGAGGTAGCAGAAAACCAAGGAATTGAGCAAGTTGATGCACAAAGTGCGTCTCTCCATGTTGATATCTCCTCGCTGTCATTCATGTCATCAGCAGGCATCAGAAGGCTCGAATCTGGAGAAGGTATTCCTTATACTAAGACTTAAATACAGTACATAAATAACATAAATACAGTACAGGTACTGTATTATAAAAATTTGATGGGAGGTACAGCAAAAGCTAAATTTCAACCTAAAAGAATTGGGTGGAGCTTGATTGAAGCAAATTGGGGACAAAGATGTCATCACAGCAACACACAATGCTGCCATTTATTGGCTGTGGAAGGTAAGGAATACTTTTGTCTGGAGCAGCTTTTCAGAGACGTCAATCTGTCAGAAAAATATAATTTCATCCCTACATGTATAATTCGGTAGTATACTGTATAGCTAGTTGGTGAGGCCTACTTTATTATTTACTTGCTTGATCACTAGTTTTGCTGATATGGCATTCAGTAGAGCTTTATATTTTCTATTTTTGTTTTGTTTTAAGTTTTATGGATAATGAATGTCTTGTCCATAAGTATTTGGACAATGACACAATGTTTGTCATTTTGACTCCACTCCAGCATATTGGAGTTGAAATGAAACTATGCCTATGAGGTTAAAATGGAGACTTTTTAACTTTGAGGGTATTTACAAATATCAGGTATACTGTAATTACTGTGCTTTTTATAGTCTAGAGGGCCAAAGTAATTGAATTCTTGGCTGCTCAGCTGTTCTTAGCTTGTTGTGCATTGTTGCATCATTAGTCCATGTGTAATGACCCTGATTGTAATACCTCGCCTTGTATCTATCTCGACCGCGCACTCCGCTACTACCACTGAGCTAACCGTGCAATCTCCGCTCTTTCTATGGTAATAACAGATGCTATACCGATCATATAAGATGTTAACACTCGGGCCGTCATACGAAGACGTAAACCAGTACACAGAGGAAGGAGAGAGAGAGGAAGAGGGAGGCAGAGCGAGAGGAGAGAGAGAGGAGAGCGAGAACGAGAGCAAGGGAGGGAGAACGAGAGCGAGTGAGGGCGAGGGAGAGTGAGACAGAAAGATAGAGATAATCGTAGTCACAACCTATCGTATGAGTTACCGAGTGACGCTGCCACCACCCTGAGTTACCGGACAGGGGACCGGAGTGAGAGTCGTAGGTCTTGCAGATGGAGTAACCTACCAGGACAGGTGTAGGGGACAATTGAACGGTACAAGGATCCTGGCCTGACACTCGAATAATCCTGACCACTTGGGAACTATAGTGTACACAAGAATAAGGCGGGACACACCAACACTAATACCTCAACACGGAAGACGAACGGGGGAGGAGTACTGAATAATTAAGAGCACTAGGTCACTAGGGCAAAGGGGACGGTAGGCCCAATATCACTAAAGCAAGGAACCATTAATACACATTTAATAACACTTAATATCTGACTTTATTTGAAATAATTAAATAAGACACTCCCTAACTATATTCCCTACTAGAGGCCAAGGGTACTGAATGAGGTGCTTTAGTACAAGAGAGCCGTACTTACTCGTATGTTGTTCCACAGTTTCCCTGGAGATGATGTTCTTTCTCAGAGTCCACACACACCTCCCTACTGGGCTGTGCCCACTCAACTGACTCTCCTGATCTACTGCTCCTCAGCTGAACATGAGGGTTTTGCATTTGTTGTTTAGGGGTTAATCCCTGAAGATTACCATGACGGCATCAATTCTGACCTCTTTGTGATTCGATGACCGTTGACCTGACTCTATGGCTAACTTATACAGAGGTGTAACTTTTACATTGTCTGCCGTCGCCTGACTGGCGCCTGTGGGTTGTTCATCCTCCACGTGGCCTGTTCATGCTGTTATGATGTTCATGTACTATGTACTGCTCTCTTGTTACACATGCACAGAAGTTGCAAAAGTTGATTTTATAACTTCTGTAACTAGAGTGGATTGTAAATGTGGCATATGTATACTGTGCCTAGTAAAATTAGCCGTTTGACCATATTCAGACTTCATTTTGCTTGATTACTTGAAGGTTACTTGAAGATTTGGGTTACAGAGCTCTTACAGTATATGATGTATGCATCACTTCGTCAGTCAGGTTAACTATCTTTTTCAAGGGGGGAAACCTCAATATGCTTAAAAAGCTTCCTGTTTCTGACAGTGGTCAGTGCAGTTGGGTTGGTTCGAATCCTGCTGCCTGACAGACATTTGGGCATGTTTCCTTTCACTTTATGCATCTGCTCACCTAGCAGTAAATAGGTACCCCTGGAGTTTGGTAACTGTTGTGGGATGCATCCTTGGTTAGGTTAGTAGTTTAAGACAGCACTTCTTAACTTTTACTGCAGCTCACACACCCCTTTGATTTTATTAACCACTGCACTGCGCACCTGGGTCCGACAAAAACGTCATAGTGCAATTGTTAAGGACATACAGTACTTTTGTTGTTTTTATAAAACAAAAGTACTGTATGTCCTTAGCAATTGCACTATGACATTTTTGTCAAACCCAGGTGCGCAGTGCAGTGGTTAATAAAATCAAAAGGGGTGTGTGAGCTGCACTAAAAGTTAAGAATTGCTGTCTTAAGACTAACTACTAACCTAACCAAGAATGCATCCCACAACAGTTACCAAACTCCTGGGTACCTATTTACTGCTAGGTGAGCAGATGCATCAAGTGAAAGGAAACATGCCCAAATGTCTTGTCAGGCAGCAGGATTCAAACCAATCCAACTGCACTGACCACTGTCAGAAACAGGAAGCTTTTTAACCACTGCACTGAAGGTTGTGATTTTTTTTTTTTAATTAGTTCATATTTTTTTTTAATGTTTTTGTAATTCTTTGTGATTTGAAATGAAAATGATTGAGTTTGGAAACATTTTGACATTAACTTTTGTTGTTTTTATAAATGTTCAACTAATGTTAATGTCAAAATGTTTCCAAACTCAACCATTTTCCTTTCATAACACAGAGTGATGAGAACATTAAAAACATTAAAATATAGCTTAATTAAAATAAAAATAGCACAACTCTCACAGCATCTCAAGGCGCTCTGGCAGCACTGTGGTTAATATGTTCTTGCATCCCTTTAGTTCTCAAAATATGTTTCAGCATCCCTCTGGTTCTCAGAATTTATATTCTTGCACAAATTTTGGTGTTTACATATTTTATTAAACAGTACAATTGTTCCCAAGTGTCTGTTCTTAATTGTGCTTACAATGTTTTATCTACAGTATAACAAATCTGGCATGTCACTCGCCCCCACAGAGGGCATAGTGTACCTAGGTTAAGAGCCACTGGTCCAGAGGGACCTCGATAAGCTTCCTGTCTCCGAAAAGTATTGTTATTTCAATAGTGATATTTCATAAAATTTGATGACGCTCTTCCACAAAATGAGCTGGTAGTTATACATAAGGAAAATATAAGTTCAAAAAGTGTTCCTCAAGTATACAGTATATACAGCTTATTATGTATTGTAGGATTCCCTTTAGATTGTCTCCTCATGGCTCTATAACACCATGATCTTTTTAATAGTAGAGAGAAAAACAAACGAGAACCACTGACATTGACACGTTTATTCGCTGATTATGGTACAAAATATTACAACACAGGAGAGCTGCATGGAAAGCATGTTAATGGCAGTGTGTTTTTTTTATGCAAAAGACCAATCATTATAAAATAGAAAATTACATTACATTGCTTAACTACAAGTATATTTTCCAAATATGTTGATATAGTGAGTTTTGACAAGAATACAACTATACACCAAAGGCTGGTGTATTGTATGGTATTGTTAAAATATTTATTCTAAATAGAAGATAGCATGCTTCACATATATAGTTCATTGTTGTCATTAAATATTTATTATATAACATTACAACCTTAACACATTCCCTGTAACACTGCAGCATTGTTCACTTTAGGAAAATACCCCCAAACAGTAAGAAGGTGATTAAGACCCATGAAGCCTCCTGAGCACACATTTTATCCAAAAGGCCAAACAAGAGTGGAAATACATACAAAGGACGTTACATGGAGTGAGTCAGTGACACTTAAGTATCGTACAAATCAAACTTTTTTTTTTTTTATTTCAATGATTAAGCACCTGATTGCATTTCAGGATATCCAGCATTTAAACATTTAAGCACTGAGATTAAATAAACAGGCTTCAGAAATATATATTTTTTGCAATTTCTTAAATTATAAGCATTCCCATTTAAGTTAATTTGTCCAATATTCACCATCATTCCTATGTTCCTTTCACGACATAGGAGGAATGTCTCTTGGACATAGAGTAAATGTACATTACCTGCGGCTTTATGACCCACATTCACTGTGAAGAGACAGCCATCAATTATGTATGAAGGTTAAACTATCAATTTGGAAATTAAGGACGGGTCCTTAGTTATTATAACAAGTGAATAATAATGTTAGTTTATAAGAGTAACACTTTTTTCCATGTTTGCCTGTCAATGTGGTTTATATGCAACGCACCTGGAGATGTGAATATGCTATATACACAGTGACTAACCTCCCATGCGTGGGGCTTCCAAAATTCCCCAATTCACACCATTCTCACATTTGCACAGCCATACAAACAGATACACACAAGAAGCACAAATGACACGTGCTTCCTGCCTCATTAGGCAGCTGAATCACCATTAAGAATACAAAAGCTAGCAGACACTTGCAATAGGATTGGCAATGCCAAGCCAATATATCGTAGCAAAATACTGGAAGAATTAAATTAACTAGTTTTCTTTCTTTTTGTTACCTTAAGAGACGGCCAGTTACTCGTGTTGTAAATACTTTTGACAAATCTACTCAAAAATGGTAGAAAACTTTGTTCCTTATTTTGTGTTTCCAGGGTGTGGAGTATATTCTATCTAAATCTAATGGTTTTTCTTTAGTTTATATAGTAGAAAGCATTAGCTAGATAACAGAGTGCTCCTTGGACAATTAGGGCTTGATTTAATTGTCCATACAAACCAGAAACAGGAGAGGGACGACTAGATTCTTATAATACCGTTTTGAAGGATATTGCCATGGGAACATCACATGACTCACTTCTGTTAATGAAAGTAAAAGCAACCTAGAGGGGAACATCATATTATCCACTGCACCTGAAAGTTTGTTTGTGATTTCACACCTCACAAAATCAGCCAAGATTTTGAAGTTGGCCAAGCTTCAATACCAGAAAAGACATTGAAGTTGTTAAATTCACTGCACCTTATCCTACGGACTGAAGGTGGTGGCGTCTCATGTATGGAGCCTCCTTTACAACCCCCTGAAAAAAGATAAAATATTTTTTCATTTATTTGCAGAAATATAAAATTCAACCCTTACATTTTCTTGTATAAACAGGGTACTATAATCTTAATGTTCTTCTACATAAAATTATAAAGTTGAGTGTTTCATGCAAGGTGGTGAACAAGAATTACTAATTTAAAAATATTGGCATTAATGAAACTTCAAAAATTATCAAATCCCTTAACTATAGGGAAAAAAAAAACTATAAATCCTAGTTATATAACCCACCTTAAGATTCTCTACATCCTAGATCTTTACGAGAGGAAGGCACTCAGTACGAGAGTCAAAAGTGCCATGTTCAGCGTGTTGGTGCCACACCCGTTCGCAGATTGACCAAAGGCCACTTCTGTATTAAAGAAAATTTATTGTGTTAAGATTTTTTTAGTTATAAAATAATTTATGGGGATATAGATAGTAATAATTACTTCTCTCAAGCAAATTAGGAAAGTTGTTATTTAAGGTCATTTGAAGAGTAATTAAAAACTATTTATAATACAGAAATATCTGAAATTGGAAACCAATTAAACTATACCTGTACATCTTTGATATTTGTTTGCAAGTTAAACAACTCTATTGTTTTTATTAAATCTGGATGTTATTTAAATAGATTATTAACTGATTCCAAGAAAGGTTATTATAGATAGATAAAAAAAAGAGAGAAACAGTCTGTACCATAGGACTGCTTGGAGGCACCGCAGTGATCTGCAGCAAGGCATGCACATCACGCAACCATCAAACAACTCTTCAGCAAGTCAAACAAAAAGAAAAAATATGTAACCGATACGCGAGTAAAAATATTTAGTTCCTAATATTTATTTTATTAATTAATTTATGGCTATTTAGGCAATACATAAAACACGCTCCAATAAAAATAACCCGCATGACGGTTATAATTCATTTATATTTATCTTTGTAACTGGACATTTTTTTTTATGCGCGAACTGAAAATACAATAAAAACAAATTGCATTAATTATTACAGTCAGTTAAGATACTACAATATGATAGATATGAATATTTTCAAGATTACTAATTACATTTTAAACATATGAAAATTTTATTTTGTTCATTTATAGCGACTGAAAGTACAAGGACTTGAGAACTTAGAATCCAATAGCAAATATGATTGCACAAAGTGGAGTACTGTATAGTTATGTCTTGCTGCTATACAAGTTAATATACAATATCGTTGTGTATTTTCTAGAATTGTCTTTTCAAATATTAAATGTTTTAAATTTCAACATAAATTAAGAGATCAAATGTTCAAAAAGTTATGTTAAATATCTCAACATGATTAAAGTATTAATCATATGGTATTAGAGAAGGGAGACAGCCATTTAGGAAACCATTAGTAATTACAAATATTTCAAAGATTCCCACTGCATATATTAAAATAATTTAAAGTCAAAATTGTATCGCTCTTATACATAAACTGGAAATTGTGATTATTGTATTTATTAAGTCTGACTTGTTTCAAAATAGCTAAGTGGCTGAGTGTAAATGAGGAGTAATAACTGGGTTGCCAACAAAGCACGAGTAGGTGTAACCCGATCCACTCTTGACCCACCAGTATACCATCACAAGTACTGAAGGGCCACCTCTGACTCCTGATTATAATAATAAAAGTACTGTACAGTATATAAAATCTCACTATATGATACTGAAAACTCAGATGTGGACTAGATACCTTCCTATATATATTCTTATTGGAATTTTTAAGATGTATATTTACTGACTTTCACCTTAGATAAAACTACAAAGAAAATAAGAAAATTGTCACAGATACTTAAGGACGAAGTCCACTTGCAATCACCCTACAATACTAATTATTTAAGAAAGCTATGAATAATAAAGCATTGCTCCTCTTGTAATCCACAGGGAACACCTGCAACAAATTGCAGCAAAACTGTGAGTAAACCAAAATAGTTGCATGCTTGGGTTAGACACTGCCATACAGACAGGACATAATACTTCGGAGAGGCACCAAGAGAAGAGTTAATATCTTCTACACCACAAGGTTAAGGTTAGTATTTCAAAACAATCCAGAGTAGCATGGCCGGAATTCTTATCACCACTTGAGATTTGGGTCCCATTCGTAAGGCCTTGTTTGTCATCCAGCCGAAAGTGAGGCACAGTGAATCGATTGGATCTTTGAGTAGCCATACATTATTACCACCACTCAAGGGATACTAAGAATTCGACCTAAAATGTTTATACACAGAAAGGGCAGGGTAAAGACCTTCAGCTGAAGCTAAAAGCTGGATTGTTTGCTGTACAGCAGGGAAGCTACAATTCAGAGGGTTAGTTGCTCTTGAGCGAGAACAAACCTTCCATCACAGGAGCGATGTTCTCGGGTTCCGGGGCCAGGGTCGTGGTAGTGGTAGTGGTAGTAGTAGTAGTGGTAGGGTCTTCTAAATAACGGAAAATGGGACAAGTTTGACTAGGAAGTCCTGCCAAAGGATCCAAGGATGATCCAATCTGATAATTTTGTACATAAAAGTATCCATAGATACTTTTAGTCAATCATTTTTGAGGGATTTTTTTTTTTTTTTTACATACCAAGTGTACCACTAGTGTTAATACAGTAGTTCCTTAACTTTACAGCTTGCAGTCTGAATCTTTCGGGTGACTCTCTCAAAGTTATGACAAATGTTAATAAAACACAAAAAAACTTAATATTGTGACTATTTTTACCAAGGCAAAAGTTAGATGTTTGTGATAGCAACACAGAACATGAGATTAGCATAATGTTATATACAGTATGTGTAATAATATAATACACTAGTACATTTATACTATGTATTAAATTATTTCTGCACAAAATGGCTGTCATTTTCAGGAGTATATTTGCTTTACCATACTGTAATCATTATAGAAATAATGTGCTGTATATTCACTACTTTCTTTAAAAGGTTTATGAACTTAAATATTAATTCACATTAATTTTTGAAAAGCATAATTTTTTTGTTTCAAATACTATAAATTGGTAATGCAAGATTATCTTAACCTCATTCTACTCTTTTTTTTCTGTAGTTCTCAGAAGGGTATCACTAATAAGAGCCTCAGGTTTATCTTTTCTGCTTTATCTATGCTGCTGGGCATACTGAGTCTACCATTGTTTGCCCACAAAACCTAATACACACAAATGTACACACCCATTTACTCGTGAACATATACAGGCATCCCACACATCTCGACCCCCTCCCTCCTCAATACCTCAGATACACACACAAACTGTTTTTTGTTTTTCAAAGAAAAGTGCAATTGATGTCCCATATTGCACAGAAGCAAGAAGCTACAACATAGCCGATCATGTAGTACCTTTTTCTCTGAACCTAGTTTGGTCTCGAGCTAGGTTGAAAGAACAAAAGTGGTTTTGTAATCATGTTCAGCTCAACAAAGTAGAGTACATGCACGTGTGACCTACACACAAGTAAATTGGTACGTGAACAGATACAGCATATCTATAGAAAGCACACTTTAATAAAAGTCCCTTAGTTTTCCTTTGAATTTAAAATGATTTTGAAACATGTTAGTCCTTGTCTCCCACCAATTACAACACAAAACAAACAATAATGTATCCCTAAATTAAAATTTCTGTGCAACTTGAATAAGTAACCAACAATTAGAGCAGGAACCATCACACATTTAAACTTCCAGTGGTATCTTCATATTTAAATATCCACTTTTCCCCTAAATAAAAATTATATGTACTGTATATATAATGCTGTCGAATGCTTTAGCAATCCTAAATATGTACAGTACTGTACATATTCTAGCTATTTATTGGGGTTTTTATAAGATAATGAGCAAAGTATCAAAGGCAGTAATGATCACAATGATCTTGTCGAGATAGAATACAAGTTTCAACACAAACTCTGGATAGGGGATAAACAAATGGCACCAGACCCAAAGCATAACCCCATGTGGTGCAAATCTAGGCAACAAAGGGAGGAGAGGAGGAGGAGTAGGCAGGGCAGTCATCTTCTCATTTAGACAGCACAAGAGAGGAGTGCACATGAAGAGTGCAGCTATCGGCTTCCCAGGAAGTAGGGCACAAGATTAAGTTAAGTTAGATCATTCAATTCAGAGGTGAGAGATCTGGCAAACAAGACTAGCCGATGTTAAAGATCAGTCTGAGTTAGCAGTATCTTTATAGGGAATGGCATTTCCATGGAATGTGATAAGGGAGGATGAGGAATGACATTCTACTGAGTGAAAGCCATGGCATGTCTTAGTTGGGGAGAACTTAAAGCCATGACTGGTAGGCCAGGATAACACGCTATCAACTGTAAGTTGGAGCTGACATTGAATGAAGGAAAAATCATCACTGTGATAAGGTGAGAGATGGTGTACATTAAAGGTTGAGCATATTACAGTGGGAAAGGGAGGAAGAAAGATTATTAAGCATAACCAGGAAAATAATAGTGCTTAAAACACAATACAGGGGAACACCATCATATTGATAAAGTGTCAGAAAGCAGTACCGAGTCACTAAACATTTCCCAGGTCAAAAAGAACAGCTACGATGGAGGTATTCATAGCAAAAGAAATAGGAGTATAAACCTCCACTTAACTAGATACAGTATAGTCTTTTGAAATGATATACTGTCCATGATTATATTCTGCTTCATTTACCTTCAATCTTAAATGCGGTTCACAACTACCACGCTACTCGGCCATATACTCGGCCTACAGTGATATGCAATGCATTGACAATACAGCAGTACAATCAACCCAATTCCTGACTTACATGTACAGCACATAGATGATTCTGCACCATTATGTATACATCAGAGGTAAGTTTTGTGCCCCTTTAAGCAGTACAAATTGGATGGAAGAAATCATTTACATACAAGATCAAAGAGACATGGGTTTCCTTAACAGTAATATTTGTTTCAATGATAGTCTAAAACAGACTTTTCATGCTGCAAGTCAACTAAATATTAACTATACTTTGTACTACTTATAACTTTTTAAAGGCTTAAGTTTATGCAATATAAAATGTTATTTTTAAATTGAGATACAGTATAGGTATATATATATATATATATATATATATATATATATATATATATATATATATATATATATATATATATATATATATATATATATATCTGTACTGGACAATATATATAATAGTGAATTGGCTGTTCTATAAGTAGCTTCAGTACAGTATTGATCAAACTTGTGACACTATTGTTTTCCACAACATTTTGAAAGTTTTATGAATTTTACACATTCTTCCTAATGATTTCATTAGGAAGTCGGGTAAAACGTCATGAGTAGAGGATATTTTGGGTACTGCTAGGTGAAGATAGCAGTCTCCGGTGTAACCAAACTTGCACAAGCTCATCACCGCGCTGAATGCTGTACTCTTACAAAGGCTTGCCCTTAATGGAATTTAACACGTACACGTAATGACTTTGTCAGCTTCCTTGCAGGAAATGCTGCAAAATTTAGAAGCCTTTACTAAACCATGCATCCCATCTTACAATTAAGAAAATTTTCTTTGGCTGTATGAACCTCTGAATCTGTCTATATTACATGGCATGTCCAGTTCGTCCTCCAAACAAAGACCCAAAAGTGATTCCATCCACCTGCTAATCCCCATGTTTATGAATGAAAAACAGTTTACACATGACTTGCAACTAATTTCGTTTGAACACTTCCGGAACAAGTGCTTCTCTGACGAATTTTGTTCAAACCACAACGCTGTAAAGGCTTCACCTACATACTACAAATACAAATAATCGCCAACAGAACCTGAACACCTAACCTAACCAAACCTATATATATGCAAAATATGCTAATATATTATAATATTAATTTATATTTGAGAAAATTCCCGTTTTGAATTAACAGCATCTAAAAATTTATGAATGCGTCTGTGGAGTAGACCACTGGATGTAATGGACTCGAGTCAAGCACGTCTTGAGTTGAGCACGGACTTCAGTTGTTGGGCACGTCATAATACAGGGTTATGTGCTTCAAAATTACATTACAGTACTTCTATAATAAAACCAAGAAAAATACAAGTTTCTATCTAGCAAATAGTGATTCCCTTACCCCAAAGTTACATTATTTGCTTTTTAATTACTGTACACTATCCTTGAGCACTTTTCTTCTCACTCCCGCTCCGTTTCCGTCTTCACCGATGGGTCTTAAGTCTGCGGACGGTGTTGACTACTCTTGTTTTTCCTGATCGCACTTATATGTGTCGCTAGCGGAGCTTTACGCTATTCTCTATGCTCTTCGTCTCCTGCTTTCTCGTTGTCAGTCTTCCTTTGTAGTTGTTGACTCTCGTAGTGCCCTCATGGCTCTCGGGTCCTTTAATCCGGTTCATCCAGTAGTTATCGATATACAGCATTGGCTGTCTCTTGTTCACAGTAAATTTAAGTCGGTTGAGTTTTGCCTGGTGTTGCCTGGTTTGCACCTTCTCCAGAGCAGCTGTGTCTTTCTGATGATGAAGACTTCATGCCTGGATGCAATATTCCAGATGGGGGTGCACTAGAGATTTATACAATTGAATGACTACCTTCTTTTCCTTAAGGGTAAAGGTAAGCTGAATTCCCAAGGTTTGATCAGCTGTTTTACTGCCACTCCCACTTGTGCAACTTTAGTGAATGATTCTTAAGGGTAAAGGTAAGCTTAATTCCCAAGGTTTGATCAGCTGTTTTACTGCCACTCCCACTTGTGCAACTTTTAGTGAATGATTGATTCTGACTCCACTGTCCTTTCTTCATTTATATGTTGCAAGGTAGTGCTGTTAATTTAGTAGTTGTGCATGTGGGATGCAACTACCATGTCACAACTACCACAATTCAGTAGTTGTGCATGTGGTGCATAACAACATCCCCACATGCAAGGTCTTGCATTTATCAACATTAAAAAGCATTTGCCAGTCATCTGACCATTTGTGGCGTTCATGTAGATCTCTTTGTAAGGTCTCAATATCACTTCCCACTTTACCATAGATCTTAGTATCATCTGAAAATTTGGTGGTGTGGTTTGTAATATTCTCATGTCATTGATGTATATGACAAAATAGGTTGGCCCCAAAATGAACCCCCTGTGGCACCCCACTTAGCACATTTCCCTAGTCAGATTCATTCCCATTTAGCATGACCCTTTATTTTCTGGTGTAATTTTCTGGGGCCCTTGTTTATAGAGTTGCTGCTGTGTCAGCCCTGTGGCATACTCACACTGATAGTATATTACCCTCTTGAGCTAATATTTGCACCATGCAGACTGAGGATCCCATTGTGTTCAGTTCATCAATGGTGGTTACATTCGGGTCCTCTTTCACATAAAGCAGTACACCCCCTGCTCTTGTTGTTCTGTCCTTTCTGAATGGTGGATATTACCCTGGGAGGTGGAATTCCCCTTCAATAATGTCTTATCATCCCCATGTTTTACTAATGCCAATTATGTCTGGAGTCTCGGCCTCAGCATATGCACATAATCCATCAAATTTATTCTCCAGGCTTCTGGCATTAGTGTAGAAGCACTTTAAATTGCTTATGTTGTTCCTATTGGGCTGAGAGAGAGTTCCTAGATTCTGTACATTACTACTCTGTTCGTTGTCACTCCGGTTTTGTGCCTATTTGTCTTCTAAGATATATAGGATTAGTTCTGCCTGGCTGAGTAGAGGACTACGGCCTCTCCTCCATACACTATCATGATCACCCATCCTCTCCTGATCATTAGCTTTGAATCTTTGTATGCATTCAAGTTCTTTTAGCTTTCCTCTTAGTACTAGGTCTTTTTTTTTTTGCTGTTCAACTGCGAGGTCTGGGGAGATATTGACATGGTAATACCCTTCAAGATCTTGAAGGCATGGTACCAATACAATAAATCTTAGTCCATAACCCCCAACTACTTGAAACATTCTCCCAAGAGTTGAACAAAATCCACAGATCGACCAAGTCACGCCACCTGCCACAGACCAGCAGAAAAACCACACCCCAGAGATCAACAATACTTGCCAAATACTACATTAAACTAATCATAGAAATTAAATTGACTTCATAAATTCATTCAGTCTAGAAACCGAGGCTCTTATCACTTATTAAATTATCCTGAATTAAATGCTTAAAGAAATACTGTACAAATGGTACAAATGCTGTAAGTTTGCTTTGACGTGAAGTATATACACAGTGTAGGCTGACAACAAAGGATTAAACAAAAGGAAGACATTGCAGGCACAGTAAACAAGCAGATGGGTTCAGGACACACACACAAAGGTCTTGCTTATATTTAACAGCTGGGGAAAACTACTCTCATCTGTTAACAAAGCTATTTTGAAATTCTTGCTTCAGAATATTACATTCCAAGGAAATAACAAATATTATGGCTAATAAATAAGTAATAACATTCCATCAGTTAATATTGCTACTGTGACAATGTTACTGTAATACTAGTAGCTTTGGTGATGCTTCACTTGCAAGATAGACAACACGCATCCCTATGCACTTTCTCTTCAAAAATCATAAAAGGATAACTATACCTAGAAATAGATATTACCTCAAACACACCCAATACTCTTGGATGAAGATCCACACGTACCTAGAAATTTTTCGTTCTCTGCAAAAAAATCTTATAACAAGGAACAAATTTTTTTAACTAATATTTAACGGAATAAAATTTCAGTAAAATATTAAAGTCATGGGAGGGAATGAGGAACTGAAAAGTAAATAAAGTTCAGAGTCAACAGCCATTTTACTGGGACACAAAATACGAGCTTAAAAATGATGCACTGTGCTAATTAAAAGGGCAAGAGAAGAGTCAGTTTGGCTCATGTCTCTGAAGCTACACAATGTCATGATTGCATATATGGGAAAAACTGTTAATTATACTTAACTAAACTCTTCCATTGAGACAATACACAAAATCTTTTGAAAGATTTATTATTATTAATTTGGCTGAAATGAAAATAATAAACCTTATTAATAAAAGCTGCAATAATTTAGCTGTCATTTAGTAGTATTAATACTCGGCTCACTTCCCATATACACACCCAGTCACTTGGGTCTCTATGGGATGAGTTATTACCTTTTCTTGTGCAGAACTGGAAGACATCCGAAGTCCCCGACCACCCAAACTTGTTTTCAACGGCAACTGTTGCTTCGTAGTCGGTAGCAGGCTCAAGCATCTCGATAGCATGGCTCATATGGTGAATAGGACCAGTAAGGTTTCCCTCTGATGGCTTCGGAGAATGCAGCCTGTCGATCCACATTCCTGGAGCCTGCTTTGTGATGTTTGGCTGTATGAGTAACAAATGGTTAGATTATACTAGCCCAATATTATGTTCTAAAGAAAGTTGAGAGGTGGGAGAAAAAACAGACTGCAGAGCGGCACTAGACTGAGAGTACAGTATGGAAGAAGAGAATCTTCAGCAAGAACAAGACAATGCCTAAACATTTCCCAGAGCAGTGCATAAGGAAGATAAATATTAAGAAAAAAAAAAAAAAAGGGCCACGTTCATCATGGGATGGTACACTTTATTTCATTCTTGATTCACAATTGGGGAATCCCGGGGTTTGATTCCCAGGACAGAAATTGGTGGGCACATTTCCTTCCACCTAATGCCTCTATTCACCTAGCAGTAAACAGGTACACAGGAGTTAGGCAACTGTTGTGGGATTGCATCTTAGGGAGGGTCAGTAGTTCAACCTTGAGAGTATAGTACAGTACTGTATTTCAATACAAGCCTAAAGTAAGTAAAATTACACACACACACACACACACACACACACAGCTATGAGGAGAGGCTAGACACATTAAATATGCCAAAGCTAGACGATAGAAGAAAAAGAGGTGTACAGTATACGTTTAAAATAGTAGCAGGAATCGACAAAATTGATAATGAAGAATTCTCAAGACCTGGAACTTCAAGAACAAGAGGCCACAGATTTAAGCCAACTAAACAAAGGTGCTGAAGAAATTTAAGAAAATTCACTTGGGACACCACAAGCGTAACTCGTCCTGTAACTACTTGTATAATTACTGTACCTGAATTTACCTCAATTATACATACATTCACAGAGGCTGTGTGTCCTTGGCAACAAGAATTATTATTTTCAACAAAATTTAAGTGTATTATCAGCAATGTCTAATTTTCAAATGATCTTGAACAACATGCTTTATTGTATAATAAGAGAGGTCTACATAAATACATATGTAGATAAATAAAATGTATAGATGTAGTATAAGGTACCTTAAATTTTCGGTACTGAAGACGATACTGGGCAATAGGTGTGTAGCTTTCTGTCTCCCATGTGAGTGTGTAAGAGGTCTTCTCACCACCAGAGGGGCTGCTTGTCATTTTAGGGGTTTTAGGCAGACCTGGAATAAAAAATATAACTAATGTAGTTGTTACGACCCTGGGTTCTCCAGTGGAAACCAGAGGTCAAAATTGAGCTATTAAACTTCCTGGTAGTACAGTTGGGCATCTCGATAGCAATTGTTTGTATCTTCCCTGCCAGACGTAAGACTATTATTGTTTCTCAAAGAGCATTTAAAGACTGAGCTGGGGGTTGATTATTAAATAATAACATAGGCACCAACGTTGCTTACTAATACTTTCTAATCATTCATAAAGTAACAATACGTTGCATAGGGGAAGATCTTTAATGTGCTTAGCTGCACGATCAATTAGGCTCCTCCCGGCACCACGATGAGGGAGGCAGCTGGTGGCTAGCTCGCTCTTCTCTGGGCTGGTGTCGTGCGGATAAGATCTTCTCTGTGGCTGGTGTCGTGCGGTTAAGACCTACTCGGTGGCTGTATCCCTACTCTCCTTCCTTCTCCTCTTACTTATTTCCCTTACCTGAAGTTCCTGTATCCTTAAGCTAAGTACGGGGCATTAGTGAGTGTGCCTACTCTGGTAGTAACTATTGGTGAGACCTGGGGTTAGTATTTGCCAGTGTTTTGTTTACCCTAAGTGTTGTGTTTTGTATTAGGGTACCACATGGTCTCACTACCCTAGCTGCATCCAGCTTCAGTGCTTATCCAGTAGTACTTTACCCTAGCTTGTTATTAGTGTAAACCTTGTATCCTGTCTATGTGGACCAAGGCTTTTAACGTAAGATAGTGTGGTAAAGTTATTATTATTATTGTTATTGGTGTGAGTGTATATGGGGGGTTGTTAAGGGGTTAATAAATAAGTACATGAATTACAGAGTATTTCTTCTTCCAAGGTGGGAGCACAGTGATCAACCCTTAGACTAACATATATGGTCTTGTAGCAAGTTATTACTACTGTGGATAGTTTATTTTGGGGCCGGGCCTTTTAGCTCTCCCATATTTGATACTCTTGTCTTCTAACTACCTTTACCCCTGAATAGTACCAGTACCCCATAGAAGCCCCACTCATATCAGTTGTAACAGTAGTCAACTAATATTTGTAAATAAGCAGGTAAATCATTCTTAATGCCTATGACAAATCATCTCAAATTAAAAATTATGTTTAATAATCTTAATGTTACAACCAAATCTCATAATTTTGTGTATGCAAGTCAAGTAAATTACGTATATTTGTACATTACGAGTAAGTAATAAAAGCTACTAAATAAATTTGTGTAAGCCCTTATTAACCAAAATATTTTCATTAATATTATACAGCATTGGTGAAAATATTAAGGCTGTATAATAAAATCTGTTGAGTTCAAGGATGTGGGTTCAATCCCATTATATGACCTCAATATTTTATCAGATACAACAACTTTTTGCAATTTCATAGTACAATTTACAGCATTCTGAAGTTTTTGTTCAGCTCTGTGAAACTATGAACAAAAGAAATACTGGGTACTTACCAGTCAGTCTGAGTGTGTTGGCCTTTTGGCCTTGGCTATTTTCCGCTGTGCAGGTGTAGTCACCAAAGTCCTCTTCCCTTACTTTGCTGATGGTGAGTGTGTGGCGGTGGAGGCTATCATGTTCAGTGATGTGGTAGTCAGGGTTAATGGGTTTGCCATCCTTGCCCCAGGAAACATGTGGAGGTGGACGACCATGGACAATGCACATCAGTTTAGCCTCATCCCCTTCACCAGTGTGAAGAATAGCCTGTAGAAAGGTACTCATTTTAGCCACTTTATTCCTGCATAAAATAAATTTGCATTATAAATAATGTAGCAAAACCTTTTTGTTACATTTTCTGGGGGGAGCCCCGTCGGCTCCCCGGAGCTTTACCGGCTGATATGCTAATGTCAGACTTTGGCATCAGTCATGTGTATGGAGTTCTAGGGCCTACCGGGGACCACGAGCCAGAACCTGGCCCCCTCAGAGAGGCAAGGGGAGCAATGGCCTATAGAAACCCCCGTGTGGTTGGAAGCATTCTATGTCTGCCATCGACCGGGTCAAGCATCCAGAAAGGTAAGCATTCCAAAACAAACCCCTATTCTGGTGAAAATTGCTACCTAAGCCGAACTAGTGAATAGAACTCTTCAACAGAAAACACGGAAACTAGTATGACGTCATACGTCACCGCGCCGCTGTCTGCGCAGCTCCCCCCTCCCCGGAGGGGGAAGGGGGAGCCCCAGACCTCCCACGCCGGCTATCCACCCATCAGTTCTTCGGCTGATGCTATAGGCAATGGTTATGTGCTCCGGCTCCAGTGGTTGTTTCAGCACTGTACCTAGAGTGTGGTGTCTGTTTTCTAGGTGGTGCGTGAGCCGGGTGTGATTCTTCAGTACTCGGGCTGCATGCGCCTAGGGTTCCCTTCCCTAGGTGCCCTGTAAGTACTGCCCTTGGGGCTTGGGGCCACCTTCCACAAGTTCCTTGGGTCCTGCCCCTGCTTGGCCGTTTACCGCTTGGTTTTCGGCCGCTCTTTGTGTGCTCGGGTGTTCTGTCTCCCTTGTTCGCCTTAGAGTAAGGGGCAGTGTTTGCACTGGTGGGGCGCGGGGTACTGTGCAGCTTGTCTTTACCAATCATAGCGGCCGGCTCTGTTCCGCTTGGGTACGCTGTCCTCTTGCGGGGTTTTCTTTTTCTTTTGTTTATATACCTGGTGGGGGGGTCTGCCTTCGTTCTTGCCCCTTGTGTCCCTTGTGTTCTGAGTATTTCTGGTGGTACCCCCTGCTAGGTCCCCGTGAGTGTACACGTCCCGGGGGTTCAGCTCTTAGAAAGTTGTTTGGTAGCTTGGGTGCCGGTTAGCAGTACCCTGCCTGGGATTACCTGAGCGCGAGTCCTCTTAAAGTAAACGCTCGGGACCCTGGGAAACCCCTGGGGGCGCGCGGGTCCGATGGATGTGACCCCAGAGCCCCCCCCTCGCTTCCAGCGAGTTTGAGGGTTGCTCTCACCTTTTGTCTCTGGGTGACTCTCTGTTTTGCCTCCGTCTGCTGCCTGTGGGGTCGGTGACACCTTCGACCCGGTGTCCTGCGAGTTTGGTTGCTCGTTGTGGCTCGGTTACCCAGTTGTGCTAACAAAGCGGGTGCGGGCAGCAGGGGCGTTGCACTTGAGCCTTGGTGGTGGCAACGTTCTCGTGGTTTCCTCCCCGGGAGCCCCGGGGCTGCCCCGTTGTATTTCGTTTTTCCCCTGGTTCACCCTTCCTGCCTGCATCCGGTTCCTTACCGTCTGTAGGTTCAGGGCGGGGTGTTTGGTGGTGTTGAGACTCGGGCAGTCTCGGGGAATTCCCCTTCCGGGGTAGTGACGGGGGCATTTGGGCCTGTTCCTCCAGCCGTGTTGTATGAGTCTGCCAGTGGGCTCCCTTCCTTAGTGTTTTCACGGCTGCCCCGGTTTTCTGGTACGGCCGGGGCTTTGGGGGAACGGCTCGGCCCCGGGGCCTGTCGTGTAGGTTCCCGGGGCTGGGGAGGGGCTGACTTGGGGGGCCTTGGCCCCGTTAGACCCCGTGGGGGGTTTTATCCCCCTCTAGGCGGGGCTTGTGGTTACGCGGAGTGGGGTTTTTCCTCCCCACTCGCCGTACGTGCTGTTGGACGTCGGCCCCTCCCCGGGCTCGGTTCCTTGGCCTTTGAGTCGGTTGGTTCCGTCCTGTGGGTGGATGTTTCCTCCCCCGCTTTTTGGGACAGTGTTTTTGTCATGTTTCCCCGTTCGATGGGGTTCTGCGTGACTTTTGATCTCGGGTGCGCCTGCGCCTTCGTGTGCCTTCGGGACTAGTGTTGGCTTCTGTGTTCTCGAGGGTACGGGAAGGTTTTTCGCTACTTCCCGCATTATTGGAACGTCTGTCGGCTCCTAGTACTTGTCGCCCTGTTGGGCTACTTGTCGCCCTGTTGGGCTACTTGTCGCCCTGTTGGGCTACTTGTCGCCCTGTTGGGCTACTTGTCGCCCGGTTGGGCTACTTGTCGCCCGGTTGGGCTACTTGTCGGCCGTTTGGGCTACTTGTCGCCCGTTTGGGCTACTTGTCGGCCGTTTGGGTTCCCTTTTTTTGGGCTCTTTGCTTCTTTGGCCGGTTTTCTTGTTCCTGCTTCCTCTTTTGGCTCTTTTTCTCGTGCAATAGTCCTGGCTGGCGCCTTCCCGCAGGGAGGGTGTGCGGTTCGGCCAGCGTGTTCTGCGCATGCGCCGTGGAGTTTGTTTTGGTCTGGGCGATGGTTCAGTGCTGGGGTTTTGCGCCCTTTTTTGCTACAGTGCTTCGCCTCTCGTTCTTCTCCCTGGCTGCGGTATGTGCCCCTTTGCGCCAGGGGTGTCCTGGTTCCCAGTTGTGGGGAGGACACCGCGGTTTTCTGTGTCATGGGTGTGGACCGCCTCCTTCGCCTCTCCCTGTTCTCCTGCGGGTCCGGCTCTGGCGTCTTCACCTGGCGGTGCTCCCAAGTTCTTCTGGGCACGGTTGAGTCGTGTCAAGTTCGAGCCACCATTCGCCAGGTGAGTTTCTGCGGTCTGGCGTCTTTTGGCCGGGCGCTGGATGCGGCGGTGTTCATATACCTGTTTTTATTTAGGTATAATTTTGTACGACTGAGACCGTTCGCACACCAGTGACTGTCCCTTTATCACCCCTTCCTGTCCCCCTCCTGTGCATGTCCAACCCATGCTACAGTCGTTCAGGGGACCCTCCTTTTTTAATGTTGTGAGGTGTGGGGGTTGTAGGGTTGGTTCTGTACTCACCTGGTGAGGCTCCTGGCTGTGCTTGCAGGATTTGAGCTCTGGCTCTTGGGTCCCGCCTATCTGGTAGAACTTGCGGGATAGTACCAGTGGAGTGCAGTGGTGCTATTGGCACTTTTGGGGAACACTGTATTACCATCAGTGGTCTGTGCTTGTTACACGACCTACTTGCGAGCATCAGCCTTCTTGCTGGTTCGTCCGTGGACTTCCAGGGCGCACTGGCCTGTTTTCGTATGGCAGTTCCGGCCCGTCCTGGTTGTGGGGGTATATGGGCCGGTGGACTGCTCCTAGCAGCTGCCTGGTGGGCCATCCTCTGGCCGGTCTGGCCTGACCTTGGGCCGGGCTTGAGGTGTAAAAGAGCTCCCAGTACCTCATCCAGCAGGTATCGAGCGGGGTTTCTCCGCCGTCGGTCGCCTGGTGCAGGTTTCTGGGCCTGCAGGGTTTTGTCGTGTCTCCGTTGGCCCTGTCTGGGGTCTGCCTGCTCCGTTCTCTGCCTTTGCAGAGGGGAGTTGCTATTTACATGTTGCATGTTGCAGTGGTGCCTGTTGCTGCTGCTGCTGCACGTGAGCATTGGTACCGTGTTTCACGGTGGCGTGTCCTTGTTCCTGTGTCCGGTTGTGGAGTGGCGCTTTGCTGCCGTTTTGTGCCTGGGGATTGCGTGGGGTTTTTGTCCCTGCCTGATTGTCCACCCCTGGTTGTTCTCCTGTTTTTTTTTTTTTTTGTGCTTCTGCTCTTTCTTCCTGCCTCTTCTGCAGCAGGAATGTTCTGCGTGTGTTCTTAGGCGTTGGTCAGCCTGTGTCCTGTGATGTGCTTCTTTGTTTCGGTCTGTTGCAGTTGTTCGGGCCCCTTGGTTCGGGTCCTGTTCTGGCGGCGACCCTTCCGCCTTCTTTGGTTTTCCTAGCTTGCCCTGCCGGTTGTTGTTGTTGTTTTATTTTTTTTGGGGGGGTTCTTGCGATGTCTCGCGTCGGACCCGTCGTTTCTGAACTCCTGGCGGGCTTGCATGCTTCGGAGTTTTTCTGTTCGGCAGACGTTCCATCTCCTTGTGCCGCCTGGGTTTCGGTGGTCGCGCCCGAGATCTTCTCGCGGCTCCGCCTTTTTCCTGGGCTCGGGGGGGCCTTGTCGGGGCTGCTTATGTTCTGCCTCGTGGTCTCGCCTCCGGTTGGTGGTCGGGTGGCTTCGTGGTAGGTGTCCCACCTGCGTGCTTCTTGGCGGCAGTATGGGGTATTTTGGCGGTCCTTCCTTTCCTGTCCCTTCTTCGGTGGGTCCTTCTTGTTGGCTTGGTTTACTCTCGGCTTGGTTTTCTAGTGGGGGTTGGGGGCCGTCGTCTTGCCACATACTGTCGCCTCTTTTCGTGCGGCGCAGGCGGAGCCGCTTCAGCTTGCTTTCGGTCTTGGTGTTGCTTCTGCACCGTTAGTCAGCTGTCTTGTGCGTCATTTCACCTCCGGCCTGTTCGTGCGCCGCTTGCACCATCCTGGTCTCTGGTCAGCGTGCTCCGTCTTCTCCTCGGTTGGTAGTGCCCCTTCGGTTCCGGTGTGTTTTTTTCGTCGGCTCTTTCCTTTGGGCCTTTGCCTCTGGGGGTCGGTTCGCTGTGTTTTCTTGCTCCTTCGGTTTTAGCGTTTTGGTTGTTTGATGGCAGCAGTCTCCATCTTTTCTGGCGCGGGGTGGGGCTGCTGCATTCTGGAGGGGTCCAGGGTTTGTTGGTGCTTTGTTGGTCGGGCCGGGGGTGTGTCGTTTTTGTGTTCAGTGGCGGCCCTCTGCTGTTGTTTGCGTGCCACGGCGTTTGGGTCCGGAGCGCGTTTTGCGTTGATCCGGTTCTGTTCTTCCCGGTTCGCGGGTGATGGTGTCCCGGGTGGTCAGCCGTGTTCTTGTGGCTAAGCTGCCTGTGTTCTTCCCTCATGCCTGTGGCGTTCGTGGCTTCGCTGCTCTCGCTGCCGTCTGGGCGACGTGGCCTTGCAGTCTTTCGGGCATGGATTTTTGGTGTTCGTGCAGGGGCCTTGCTGCTCGTGGTTCTCGTGTTGTTCCCGGGATTTTCGGGGCTGTGGCGCCTTGGGTTGGCGTTTGCTGCCGGTTGTCTCGCCTCCTTGGGGGGTGCGTGGTGTCCGCCTCCCGGTTTTGTCCCTTTGACCTTCCTCTGTGGGTAGTTAGCTCCGGGGAGCCGACGGGGCTCCCCCCAGAAAACCAGCGTTGAATGTAATGAAACGCCATTTTCTGGGTGAGACCCGGAGGCTCCCCGGCAACCCTCCCTCCCTCCGGTTTTTTGCCTTACAGGTTCCTATTGCTATTTTAATTAATTGCATTCCTATTAATGTTTTAATACATTAAAACATTACATTACATACATCACATTTAATACATGCTTTGCTCGTATTAGCATACTAATAAGCTATGCATATTAGTGTCTTTAGGTATTGTATGTACTAGCTCTATCTATAAATCCAACATTATGTTTGTAACTCTTCATCTATGTATGTACTTTTACCTGAATACAAATTTGAATTTGAATTGAATTTAAAATTCATAATGACAATTTTTATTTTTCAATATTAGATGACCCATTTATTGTGAGCATTCCATATGATAATAGAGTATCCTCTGAATTATGCATCTTTTGTTTAGTAGGCAATTCTGGTAACAAATAGATACTTTTTCAATTAAAAAAAAAAATCAGGGCAAGCATATCTAGCAATGGAAATAAGATTGGTGGTTTTGGTGTAAAGAAATAATGATAATTGACTAAGGCACAATTATTTTTGTGTTAGGCCTATTTTGTGTTAGGCCCTTCCCTACTCAACAGCCTGGTTGACCAGTCCAGCAACGAGGAAGCCTGGTCAATGACGGGCCACGGGGACGCTAAGCCCTGGAAGCACCTCAAGGTAACCTCAAGGTAACCCAATTTAGGGTCTGTCCAGTTATCCGTCTGCCTTTCCATCTTGTGCACTAGTCTTTTGTGAGGGGGGCTTGTATTAAATGTATTTTGGAAAAGTAAAGATAATGCAATCTACAGTCTTCTTTCTCCTGCCACATTATAATGATTTTCATTGAACTCTATTAAAGGTATGTTAGGTAAATTTGATATACAGCATATTAATCCTAAATCTATGTTGTTTTTTATATCAATGTAATCCTCTCCAGATGTTCCACCAATCTCTCCTTAATTATTTCATCCTGTGATGGATAGTGGCAATGAAGGGTGGTAAGAGGGAAGAGAGGGAGGATGAGGGTGGATGGTGCAGAGCATGGGAATAGAAAGAAACAGAAGGCAAATAAGATGTATGTGTTGGTGTGGGGGAGATAGAGCAGAAGTGGAGAAAGAAAGAAAGAAAGAAAAAGAATGTGAGGGAGAGAGAGAGAGAGAACACACTTACTTGCTCAGTGATGACTTCTGGAGGGTATTCAACTTCAACGGTCATTGAAGCAGATGATGGGTCTCCAATACCATTTGAGGCTGTGCAGATGTACGTCCCCTCAACATGACGGTCCACATTTTCCAGGGTGATACTCAGGCCCTGTAATGATGACTTTATTACTTATATTAACACTGTACACATTATTTAGTAATTCTTAAATGTGAGCCTTTTCTTGCTCTCATTGAAGACTACTTTAGATGTCTGGGCTATAATTTCCATTCCTGCAAGTGAAGAGAATGCAGCAGTAATCATACAGATATTAGTGCTAGATCTGCGATCACTTGGCTGTCATATAAAGAATGCAGTTACTTATGAGAGTAGAAGGAAAGTTTTATTGTAAGACAAATAGGTTTAAAAATAATTACAGTATTACTTATATACAGCAATTTTTAATAAAAAATGCATATACTGTACAGGTATCTTGTCTGTATTTTCATTTGATGTTTTTATTTTAAAAGCCCAAATTAAATTTTACCTCTTCAGATTGTGCTCCAGAAGGTAGGTGTCCTTGCTGACGGCTCCAATTAATGGCAGCAGGTGGGTTGCCCTCTGCTACACATTCTAATGTCACACTTGAACCTTGAACCACTCGCTGTACCTCTGGACTTACACGTCTTACCTGAAAATAAATACAAATCGGTTATAAATACTTCACTTACCTAGATTTAATTGCATGATCGAGTGTCAGCTCCTAGTCCAGTCCCTATAATTTGTTGCAGTTTAATGAAATGACTGTTCACTCATTTTTCTTATGTTGGCAATTAAAACATAAGATATATTAGGCTCGTATATTAGATATGAGTTAGATTCAACCACTTCATCAAACCCATTTCAAATATACTGCTTACATCTCTTAACACCAGAGTTCTTCCTGACATATCGATTACTAATCAGTCTTTACTTTACATATACAGTATATCCCTCATTCTGCTGTTCCTACCTTGAAGAGTCCTGCTTTGTTCATAGGCCTATATAGTAGAGTATATGTATATAGCACTAGAGTAACACTTGCCATATGACAGGCAATACATGGTCCATAACTCACCGTTGCTGGATACTGGACATCAAGTGTGTGTGTGAGCTCAGTGGCCGGGGAAGTCTCAATGCGGCACACATATTTCCCAGCATGTCGTCTGGCCACCCCATTCAAAACAAATGAATTTCCATTCTTGGTGAACTTTACAGAAGGTTTCAACTGTAACATAGATACAATACAGTACAGTATATGAAGAAAATAGTATATAAATTTTTGTGACAAATTTCTTCACCATAATTATTATCCTGCCATCCCTCTCAGCATTAGGATGGCATCAAGAGCAACTGCATTGGTCTGTACTACTGTACTAGGTGTACAAAGTTCCTCACGAACTATGTACAAACGTGTCAATAATTCCCTCTTAGACTGATTCTTAGTGCTTGTTTCCAATTACTGTACTCAGATTCTGTTCATATTTACCGTACAATGCCTTAAGGGGGCTTATTAAGAAAAATAATAATAAAATACTGAAATATTTGTAAAAATACTACATAATTGTGGCAACACCGTGGTGCAAACCGATTATTTTTATGATGAAACTTACATATTCTTACAGAAACTTACGGTAAATTTGCAGCCGCAATTGTACAGAATCCGGTGACCCAGGGCTCGGGTGCCCGGAAGGGTACTGCGCCATATGCTCTAAATGTAATTTTTTTCGTAATAACGTAGAAAATAACTTATGTATAAATAATACTCATTGTTGACCAAACCACACACTAGAAAGTGAAGGGACGACGACATCTAACAAATGTGACCCAACATAAAGCTTACCCTTCCATTTATCTTTCTTTCTTTCTTTTTGTTTTCCTTGTTTTCTCTTACGATCCCTTGCCTATTCCTATTACTATCTCCCTTCTTACTGCGTGGGTATAAATAGGAGCTGCCTCGTATGGGCCAATAGGCCTACTGCAGTTACCTTTGTTCTTATGTTCTTATTCCTATTACTAATCCCTTTATTACACCTTACCTTTCATACATTTGCCTTGCTCTGCAAGGGTGCCAATTTTGAAAGAAATCGGTCGACCTCAACCTCAGCTACAGGTGGCCAAACTTTAAACTTAATTTTACTCAGCTAAGTAATTTACAAATTCATGATGCCTGGACTTTCATTTATTAATCAATTTACATGAAAATTACACATTATATGTAAGGTTTATACTTCTACAATCTCTATAAGACACTTTATTCCGATGTCCATTTATTGATTTTATAAATATTTATAAACTTCAGTTTGCATATTTCTGGGGGGAACTTTGAAAATTTTTATTATTGCAGTAAACCATTTTTTTTTATAAAATTGCTTATAGAAATCCTTTATTATATGCTAATGTGATAGCTGAGTGTCATGGAAATGATTTTAGTTGACACTTATGTTTGTCCAGGCATTTTGAAAAGTGTTGAATAATAGATTTTTAATTTTTCTCCATTTCTATTTAGGTTGCGATGCTGAAACTTGGACCAATTTCAGCACATTTCATATGCAACTAGCAAATAAAGATTAAACAAAATTAAACAACATTTAATTTCCCTTAATAAGCCCTCTTGATCACACTTCATGTCTGCCCATCTTCTTGGTCTACTTCTGCCTTCCAATACATACACTTCACTATTCTGTCATCGTCCATTTGTTCAACACTGTAAAATCATCGTAGAATACTCCCAATCTTGGTTTACTGATTTTGCACTTCACATTTTTCAATGGCATTATCATTCTTTATTCTATCTCAACATTACTTATGCTTTTTAGATTCTCCATATCTTTTGTATTTCTACATTTTTCTTGTTCTAACAGAACACTGCCAGCCATTTCAGAGGTGTACATATTTACCCGAGGGTCACTAATAATAGTGGCCTTGAGGACAGGAAGCTGGTGGCTTCCCCCCTTCCCCCAAACGTTCCCCCCATTTGCCCTGATGATTTTTTTCCAGCAGAGTTTTGGAGTTTACGACTTCAATATACCTTAAGTAAAGGGCTACCAAAGGCATATAGGTTGGTACTACCACTCCTTCATGAGTGACTTCTACCTTGCCTTGATTTCGGGGCTCACCAATCCCGCAGCTCCGTCCCTGACCAGGCCTCCTGGTTGCTGGACTGGTCAACCAGGCTGTTGGACACAGCTGCTCGCAGCCTGACGTATGAATCACAGCCTGGTTAATCAGATATCCTTTCAGATATTACTCAAGCCTTATCACTTGCCATTTTCTTGTTAGACTGGGATTGTTCTTACAATAGCCGCTCTCATTCCCCACCTCACTAACGTACACAAACTCCATTTTTCTAGATCACACATCAAGAAAATGGCTCAACTACTTCAAGGTGCTGAATGACCTAATAATCTGGCCCTCTTATATTTAGGTATAGGCAGCAGTGTACATGCAAGGGTTGTACTTTTGATAATTTGTTTTGTCAGGGACAGGAAGCCTTTGTATTTACAGTATATACTTTAGGTTTGTATCGAGGTCCCTTCACCTCCAATTGACCATCACTCCCAGGATGCAACCCTACAACAGTTGTCCAACTCCTTGGTACTTATTTATTGCTAGGTGAACAGATGCATATGGTGAAAGGAAACGTACCTAACCATTTCTATCCTTCAGAGGTAGTCACTGCACCATCAAAATGGTAAAAAAAAAAAAAAAAAAAAAATGACTTCTGGGGAGCACAATGTTGTCATAATTCCTAGTATCTGATGCCTCTGTTCACCTAGTAGTAAATATCCTAGGAGGGGTCAATACTATCAGGCTTATTGTCCTCAACAATGGAAACTATTTTAATTTCACATATAAAAACATATTGGCCTCGATATACTGTAGTTCTAATGCTGGATAATAACCCAACTTATATCTTGAAGATAAATAGTATTTTTTTTTACAATTCATATAGTTCTATTTATTTTCCACAATTGTAATAAAAATGTGCTTGTGTAGAGCTATAACCAATCATGCAGTGCATCAACATTTCTTAACTAGAAGGCATCCAATAGTCTCGGAAGACTTATGTGCCTTTGGTAGCTACCAAAGTCATATAGTGATGAGAGTGACACCACCAAGCCAGGGAAGGCGGCTGGGAACACTCAACTTACGGCAATATCCCCGACGAATAACAGCTTGTTTTCCCCACTGTTCATGATGTGTTTAAACATAACCAGGTGGCTTCCTGCAAAGTCAAATGCATTTTACTATATAAGTATTACTGTATTTTACTGTATAAATTTTACTTTTTTATTTTACTTTACTTTACATTTACTGTATAAATGTAAAAAAAATAAAAATAAACTTGAAAACGACAAAATATAACCGTTTCTATAGAGGGGGGATAAAATAAGACTTAAGAAATGATTGGAAATGGGGATTATGAGGAATAGAATTGGAATGGCAGTTTCAATATGTCAAAAATGTACATTTATCACATTGGAAACAAAGAATTACATTGTCAGGGCTGTTCCAGAAACCTTTAAATCTGACTTGTGAAATAAAGTAAAAAAAAAATTACATCATAAATTATATTTTGAACAGGATTTAACGAATAAATCAATATATTTCAACTATCAAAGCAACAAGGACCCACAAACAAAATTTAATTGATTGATAACGTCCACTGTTAATTACTGAACAGCACATCCATTAACGAAAAGCTCCTTCAAGAAAAGCCCAAGATGGTGTTACCAAGGTTTTCGACGGCACAGGGGAAGGTAATGTCGCCTCCAAGTTCAACGGAGAACTGTTGGGCGTTAGTAATGAAGGTTGGCGAAACGTCCAGCTCCGGGTAGTCGTCCGGCTCGTTATAGTCGTTGGTGTTGGAATTATCGTATTCATCATACTCGTACACACCATCATCGCTCTGTGCGTGCGCTGAAATATAAATATGTACATTAGGCAATGAAATATGTAATAATCCATTACATTACAATCACAAGCATTACATGCCTCCCGAAAACGACATAAATTTCCCCAATAAGCACAGTATCTAAGAGCAACAATTATTCTTCAAGCAAACGCCAGTGTTCCCATGTTGTTTGTTTTAAATTTAGCTACTCAGAACGAAGTGTCCATGTAGCACGGGCTATGGTGAGCCCGTAATGAACACGTCCCAGTGTTCCCATTGGGACGCAGGTTACATCCCAACCCGTCCTCCTAAGGTTTCCCAACATCAAGACACTGTCGTAATATGTCCTCTTCCTAATAGAGCGTCGCATTTTGACGTATACTCTCACTAAGGACAAAAATCATCGAACTAGAAAAGGGTAGCGGCTCGCGAAGTTGACATATTGTACTGTGTTTTGGGTCCTCTGGTAGGTCTAAAGCATACGTCAAAATGCGACGTTCTACTAGGAGGACAGATTAAACCGAGAAGGCACTTTAGTACGAATATTTCTTGACGTTGGGAAACCTTAGGTAGACGAGCTGGTATTAGACCAAATATTGCTGGAGGTTAGGTTTGGTTAGGTCAGGTCTTATATTTATTAATATTAATAAAGATATTGCTGATAAAAAAAGTTTCTAGTTTGTTCAAATTCAATAATACAAAATTCTACTATCTGCTGGTCCATCACGTCATACTGCTACTTTCGACCAAATAGTTTCTATAAATAGTTTCATTTTAGGAGTCTGGGCTCCGAAAAATAGTCCCCGTCACAATAACAATAACCCGGACATAAACGAAACACAGAAAATGGATCTCGTGCTGGGCCAAAACTACATGGGATCCTTATCTAAAATAACCTACTTGCGCCAGGGCTTCCCGTTTCTTTCTCACTCTTTGTCTAGCTGTATGTTTGCATCTTTTTCTGCCAGTATAATTAAAAGTGTGTATACAACTGTCGGTGAATGAGTCTATATTACATAAGCGTTTTTATATTTCTTCTGAATGTTTGGTATAGATAGTTATCATAACGGAATGACATGCAATTTCCTTGTCAAGGGCCACAGGGAGAACAGCAGTTATCATAAACTGCCCCACAATGATCGTCTCGACTGTTTTTGAACGTCCAGTAAATGTTACGACAAGAGAAATTTGCCAACATCAAGTGTGGGCATTTCAGATCTTCCATCCAACCTTTACTTTTTCCTCTTGGGAGACTCTTCGGTCGCCAACGATGTGTATTCTTTTTATCCCTATTGTTTATCCACTTAGACAAGTGAAACTAAAAAACAAAAGTCCTAACTGTTTGACCGAACGAAAGTGTGGCAGAAGTTACACTAAGGGTTGAAGCCCACCTTAATAACTCACTAAACTAAATTTTACGCTTCAGCAGATCTCTCTCCTGTGGAAGCCCCCCCTGTGTCATACATGCTTCAGGCAGACAAAGGGACCCACAGTGCTCTCGTGTGGGGACCCACAGCGAAGGCATTAACAACACTGAATGCATAATGGGACAGGGCTTTATTTACTCAGGGCCATGTGCTAAATAAATTTTAACTACTCTTAGGTCAGTTGTTTGCTCTTCGCTTGCACCAGTTTAAGAGTCGCTAGCTGCTTGGTGGATGTGCATCATGTAACATCCCTTCGCGGATTCCATCACGTGGTAATGTTTACGCCTCGTGGTAGTGTTTACGCCGCGTGGTAGTGTTTACGCCTCGTGGTAGTGTTTACGCCTCGTGGTAGTGTTTACGCCTCGTGGTAGTGTTTACGCCGCGTGGTAGTGTTTACGCCGCGTGGTAGTGTTTACGCCGCGTGGTAGTGTTTACGCCGCGTGGTAGTGTTTACGCCGCGTGGTAGTGTTTACGCCTCGTGGTAGTGTTTACGCCGCGTGGTAGTGTTTACGCCGCGTGGTAGTGTTTACGCCGCGTGGTAGTGTTTACGCCGCGTGGTAGTGTTTACGCCGCGTGGTAGTGTTTACGCCGCGTGGTAGTGTTTACGCCGCGTGGTAGTGTTTACGCCGCGTGGTAGTGTTTACGCCGCGTGGTAGTGTTTACGCCTCGTGGTAGTGTTTACGCCGCGTGGTAGTGTTTACGCCTCGTAAACACTACCACGCTAAGCCCCGGAAGCACCTCAAGGTAACCTCAAGGTCGTGGTAGTGTTTATGCCACGTGGTAGTGTTTACGCCGCGTGGTAGTGTTTACGCCACGTGGTAGTGTTTACGCCACGTGGTAGTGTTTATGCCACGTGGTAGTGTTTACGCCGCGTGGTAATGTTTACGCCGCATGACCATTTCCGCACCAACACAAGACAGCATCGCTCAGACGGGCGCTGCCCAGGGAACTCATCCACTCCATCTCTACCCCCCTTCCCTTCGTGCTGGCTTCGCTCTAATTTTATGCTTCGTAAAAATTACGCAAGAAGGCTTAACAGCCGAGGAAAGAGATACGTGAGAAATGTTCTACGGGATTGTCCGCTAAAGACAGGAAAAAGTACATTTTGCACCCTGGGGTCCCCTTGACGTGATATAATGGAGGAGAGCGGGCGGAGGTGCCGATAAACCCACGCACTGATAACATGGTGACTCCGGAATGGTGCGCCACCAGCCACTTATCTGATGCTGGAATTTAGCGCTGCGCTGCTGACCATGAACCGCATTCCCGACTGAATAGCCACCCGTCAACCGCCCGCCCACTCTCCGGCCACCCATTAACGGCCCGCCCACCCCCACAAAGAAGGTCATCACCATCCCGGACACTAGCCTACCACTGACAACCCTCGCTCCTCCCTCACCCTCAGTCTGGACATATGTAAATGTTTTCCTTTCGTGTTATTAAAGGAAAGTTGTAGTTATAATATCCCACGTATTTAAGATAACTAATCTACATTCACAATAATAATAAAAACAAACATCTTCGCTACAAATATATACGAATCATAAAACAGAGATTAAATAAACACTACACATACCATGGATAAAGCAAACATAACTGACCACAGGAACCTTCATCACTCGGCCCAGCCTCCTAAAATGAAAGTACTTAAGAGTAACTATGTGGTGGAAAGTACCTGTGTGTCGCGGTGGACCACCCGAAAGTACCTATGTGTTGTGGTGGACCACCAGAAAGTACACTTGTGCATCATTGAACAAACCGAATACTTCTTCATCAGCAATATGAATACAAGACCCAATCTAACCTCTCCTAGTAATTCTTAGACCGAATACACTATTTTTGGTCTAATTAATAGACCTAATACACTAATTTTATTCCTAGGCCTAGGAATATTTAAGTTTGGATTTTAGCTTTAATTTTTTCAGAGTAAAACAAATAGTGCAAAAAGTGGCTTATTGGGGCTTCATGATACATAATTATGGGGCTCCATAATACATTGGTATTATGGACCCAATAGTTACAAAAATACTATCATTTCAGGAGGATGGGTTCGATCCATTACACAAACTGCCGTTTTCCAGTCACATATACAAAAACAATTACACAACAACACAATTAACGACCAATAAGTCACCAAGTCCTAATTTTGTGTAAAATATTGAGCACAAAATATAATTATTAACACCCCTACTTTTCCCCCTAATCGCATTTAATTCTCATTTACATATTGAATCCTAAAAAAAGAAAATACCGGGTGAATGCCCTCAAAGAAGGATTATGAGAGTCTATTCAGATCTAGTGGCAATATATCAAATTAATCCGATTTGAAAGTGCGTCCACTGGCCGCGGCCCGCCGCTAAGAGGCGCCATGTATTGTATTGAATCCTGCCATTGGTGATTGAAATGGCCAGCCAGCCCTAAATACCCGCTAATCCCTCATTATACCGTTAAAATTTCACACGGATGAAAATCGCTAAATATTAGCTACGGTTAAGTTTAATGTTTGCTTTGTTTATATGGATATCCGACTAGGCTATTTCAGACTTCATCTCGGTAACCTTTCAGCTGTACTTGAAAACAAAACCATAAGTCGTTATTTCGTATGACGAACGTTAAAAGGCCATTTAATTAATTTTTCTATCAATTTTTAATTTACGAACAGAAATGGGATGCTGATCTGTAATCGATATCGACGACCTCTGATACAGAATACAGGTCTTGTCATAACATTTATAAATAATATTTATGCGTTCGCATGATTTATGCCAACATAAATTTTAAATGTCAATATTGCGAGACAGAGTAAATATGTGGAGCGTACACATTATGTAAACGTCAGAGACCACGCAGCAAACTCCAAATATGGTTATGATGAACAAACTTCATTTTATGCACTCGAAACCATCGCATTCACAAGTTTCATTTCCATCTATTTTGTATAGACGGTACAGTACGTTTTCCTGGTACAATACGCTTGCTACAGTACTAGGTAAAGGAAGGGGGGGGGGGGAGGTAGAAATAGCCTAAGCTACGCTATCCTTTTGAGATGTATTTTGTTGTCTCAATAAACGTACCTGAAGTACTAGGCACTGCTACACAATTAATACCAAACCCACGTGTATACTACTATTTGTAAACTGCACGCTAGATATACTCGTGCTGGGGGAGTATACCGATAAACACACAAATATAGCGGAGGGTTAAACACCAACACCTCTCCCCAAGAGACGCAAACAATGGCCGCACGCTCTGATAAAGGCCGGATATGGAGTGACAAAGAACAAATCCCAGTTGGGGCTGGCGGCCAGTTTATCAGATTTTGTGCAAGTTGTGGAATTGTCCTATTGGGCGATCCTGCCCGATAACAAACGGTCCTCCCCCTACACAGGGGAAGTCGGGATGTTCCCTTACCAGCTAAGAAGGGAAAGGGAATTATCAAGAGAAAGCACCAAGCCAGTACGACTATATAGCACTTGGTAGAGGGTCAGGATAAAGGGTTTGGGATGGGACGGGGGAAAGGAATGGTGCCTAACCACTTGGACGGTCGGGAATTGAACACCGGCCTGCATGAATGTTCCTAATGTTCCCCGTTACATTAT